ACACACACACACACACACACACACACACACACACACACACACACATTCCATCTACAAGCCATCCCAAACCATCCATAAACAAAAGAAGTATAAACGGGCAATGTAATAGAAAGTGCAAGGTTCCCCATATTTGTGTGGTTGAGCGGGAAGTTCCCACACACCTGTCTGCCGCAGAAGCGGCAACGACTTGCTGATTTCTGGTGCCGAGATCTGACTGCGAGGTTGTATAGTCGTGTCTTAGGGTCAGGTTTGTAATTTTGTTTGTGTCAGGGACTAACCGCCGGTCTAGTCCTGAGGGAAATTCGTGAGGGACATATCTGCAATTTACACGAAAATTGCAGGCCCGAGTTCCTCTTCGCCGTTACGGCCCTTAGCCGACCCGGGCTATCACTAGGACAGCAGGCCCATCTGGACCTTGGGCTGTAGAGACGGATGAGACGCCGTATAGCCGGGTAGGGCCCAGGCCGAACAGGCCAAACTGATGCGGTACCGGTCCAGTAGTCTCAGTAGGTCTAGGTCTAGAGTAGGCTAGTCTATTAATAGGACTGAGCCTGTAGGTTAGGGACTTTTGGCAGTTCATTTTCGCGATACAGCGTTCTGGAGCCAAGCAAGTTTGGTGGTGGTGATGGTCTACAGGCGGCATCCTGAGACCCTCATCGTGGACGGCAGCCATAGCCAGCCTGTCGGTGTTTGCCATAGCTGGGGCACCCTCTGCGCATCTACCCCTGAGGGTATCTGCGATTGGCTGGGCTGTTCTGAGGCTCTTCACTGAGTGTATGTGGGTGGACCACTGTCGCCCTTCGCTCCCCAGAGATTGTCAGGGCTTCGTCAGTGGTGTGGCAGCCATAGCTGCCATCTTCTTCGTCAGAGTTACTCATCAGCACTGAAGACTTCATCGCGATTCATGTTCTTCATCTGGATGGCTGGCGCTGGCCTCGGGGAGGCGGATTCTGTGTTGCGCTACTAACTGGGTGTGGAATAGAGAGTGGTGTGTGGAGTTCTGAGGGTGGCGAGACACTGGGATAAACTCTATAATGATTATTGGTTTGAGTTGGCTCATCATCAGTGTGATTCCGATTGTTATCCTTGCAGGTATCTTCTTGTGATTGGTTGTTGGGAGTCTGTCAGAGAGTGAGAATCACTGTGTGTCTCTCCCCATCTGTGCATGGTTGAATTCCGCTGCTTATCTTTGTCTGTGTGCAGTTTGGACTCTGTCTCCTCTCCCCTTTGTCTCGTATGTGTATGGGCGTGTGTCAGACACTCTGTGTGTGAGTGGCGAGAAAATCGTCAGACAACCAAGTTCATAACAAGGTTACCTGTTGCGGCTTCGGCCCCCAAAAAATGAAGGCAAAAGGGTGCAAATGAGGGTGGGTAGGGGTTTGTTGGTCGGGTGTGAGTTTGGGTGGGGTCGGGGTGGTTTTTAGGCTCACCCGTGCATTGTTGTTGACACTGTCGATGGAATGCTGCTGCTGCTTTGTAAGCCTTGAATATATATATTTTATTATTTTTCTTTCTTTTTTTCTTTCTCTCCTTTCAGTTGTGGTTTGCTGGGTTGGTGGTTCTCCGTATTTGAACTCACCTGTTGTGTGTGCGTCACACTTTGCATACCTGTCTCCCACTAACCAAAAATATTATTTCTCAGATGTCGGGAGATCCGCAATTCTCCTATCGTGTGGGGGGCGCAGTTAGTTAGGTTGGTCTTTCTCTCTCTCTCTCTCTCTCGCGCGCGCGCGCGCGCATGCTTTTTTTTTTATAGAAGGTCTCAATGGACCATGGATCAGTTATGAAACTGATCGGAGCAGATAATACACTGGATAGTGTGTGTGTGGGGAGAGGACGAAGTTAGTTAGATTGCTCTCTCTCTCTCTCTCTCTCTCTCTCTCTCTCTCTCTCTCTCTCTCTCTCTCTCTCTCTCTCTCTCTCTC